CTGGAACTGTTACCGAGGACTATGACCCAGATTTGAGTATGGGCAAAGCAACAGAGTCCTGCCCCCCCCCCAGTGCCAGCAAAGACACCTCTGTAATCGCCTTCTGATCAGCTGTTCAATCCCCTTACCATCTATGGGCTGAGAGCTCCAGAAGCAGCTGCCACCACTGCTAATTCAGTAGCTCACAAGGCCTGCTCCTGGTTTTCTGGGGCCTGGTCTATGCTGGCATGGCCTACACTGTGCTCCACTCTAGGTACAACAGACCTTTCCTGCCAACCTTCTAAGTTATCTTTGGCTGGAAAATTATTTCACCCCATCCTTTTGTGGGTTCTGCCACTCTAGAAATTGTTTTATGGCATCATTTAAAGGTGTTTGGTGTTTTTTGGGTTTTGGGGTTTTTTAGGTTTTTTTTTTTTTAGGCTAGGCAATGGGGTTAAGTGACTTACCCAGGGTCACACAGCTAGTAAGTGCTATGTGTCTGAGGTTGGATTTGAACTCAGGTCCTCCTGACTCCAAGGCTGGTGCTCTATCCACTGTACCACCTAGCTGCCCCCATTTAAAGGTGTTTGAAGAGAGTTCAGGCAAGTCACTGCCTTTTCTCCACCATCTCCCCACTGTGCTTTTCCATACCCTTTGTTTTTAAAAAGCATATAGTGAATTTAACAAAATAGTAACAAAATTGTCCTTTGCATCCACTTTTGGACTTTTTTCTTTCTATATATTTTTAAACGTTTTGTGGATACTTCTTTTTTCATGTGCTACTACCTACTAATTTCTCTCATAAAAGCCCTTTCTTAAGTAATAACTAGCATGTATATAATATTTTTTTAAATTACAAAGCACTTTACATATATCATCAATTCTATGCAGAGTTGCTGTCTTAAACTTTGTACCTCTATAAGTGTCTATTGCCAGAGTTCTGCACTAATAAGGAGTAATGCAGATCATTTTGTTTAGGGAGAGAAACTGCCATACAAATGAAAGATGAAGAATATTTTACTACCATGGTGAAAATCAAAATGGAGGTGAACTGATTATAGGTGATTTAAACCAGAAAATAGTGTCCTAAAAATCTTAGTGCAGTTTTAGGCTATCAAGGCTTAAAACTGCACTAAGACTTTTGGGACACCCTTTTTGGGATCAGAGGCAGCATGGTATGGTAGATAGACAACTAGCAGCAGGACAGGAAGACGTGAGTTCAAATACAGCTTCTTTCTCATACCAGCTGTGCAATCTTGGGTAAGTTTTTAGGAAGAAACACTTGAACTAGGGTTTTTAACTCATATTTTTCTTTAGGCATACAGCATACACTGAAGATATGGGGGAGTATTTTATATGAATATAGAGAGATGTGAGAAAGTTCAGGATCAAATTATGGAACAACTATCCATTAGCCCACTATAGCTACTGGCTAGCCCTGGATATAAAACCATGCTTTAGCTTTACATGCTATCCAATTACTCTTTGAGTCCATCTCACCACCTTTTTCTACCACCTAATTCTGGTGTACCTAATTCTCCCCTTTCCTACCTTCCCAGAACAAATACCTTTCCCTAGTCACCATTCCCCTATATGTGTTGTCTTTCTTTATTTTTCTGGTCTCCTTAAGAATGTAAGTTCCTCAAGAACAGAATTCCTGTCTTTGGCTTGGCACTGGATCTGACATATAGCAAGTGCTTAATAACGCCTTTTAATTCATTCATCATGCTTTTCAAATAGGAAAAGAGGAATAGTATGAATTAAAATTTGAAAGGCAGATTGGAGCCAAATTTTGGAGGCTTAAATGCCAGGCTAAGAAGCTTGAATTTATAAGTAAGAGAATTGAAATGTATTTGTGTTAGAAGGAAAGTGACGTGGTCAGATGTATACATTAATAAAATGAAACTGGCAGCTATGTGAAGAATGGAAAGGGAAGAGACTAGAGGCAAAGAGTCCCGTTAGGAGACTATTATACTAGTACAGAAATAACTGTAAAGAGAAGGGGATGGATAGTGGAGACATGAATTTAGCAAATGATTAGATATAATGTGGTAAAGAAGAGTCAAAAATGTCTTGATATGAAGCCTTGTTGACAGGGAAGACAGTGAATAATTTCATAAAAGAAATAGGAAACTTGGGTGGAAGGGCAGATCTTAGCAGGAAAGATAATGTTTAGTTCTGAACATGTTAAATTAGGGGTAAACAGGAAATTCAGGTGATGTCCAGTAGAGTTTTGGAAATGTGTGAATAGAGCTTAGGGGCATGATTAGTGCTGTTGATGAATATCAGCTTAGAACTAATCATTAAACTATTTGGGTGGATAAAATTGTCTAAAGAGAGCAAAAGGAGAGAGAACCTTGACTGACAATTAAAGGGCAGAAGGAGGAAGATGAACTAATGGAGGGGAGCATCAGACAAGTAGGAAGAGAATCAAGAAATAAAGTGCCCTGGAAGAGAAAGGAGAGCATCAAGAAAGTAGTCAAAGGTGTTAAATGCTGCAAAAAAAAAAAATCAATCAAAAAGAAACGAGGACTGAGAAAAGGCTACTAGATTGATTGCTAAGAGGTAACTGGTAATCTTAGAAAGGAAAATTTCAGTGGAGAAGAGAATTGGAAGTCAGGTTTCAAGTAGTTGAGTGAGTGGGAGCCAAAGAAATGAAAGTAAATATATAGTTTTGGCATGGGCTTTTTGACAATATCTTCTAGCATACTGGTAGATTTGTGGAAGGCTTAGGACAAGATTAAAGCAGAATAAGGCATGGATAAGTGCTGGCTGGGGCACCCATATCAAGAAAATTACAGGTCTAAATCCACTGAAGGGGGCTCTCTATTTTGTTTCCTAAGGACTATACTGAAGATGTCTATCCAGAAGGTTTGGACACGCTATTAAAATTCACCATACTAATGTATTACATCAACTAATTAATATTAATGCTAGATACTCTAATAGTTAAAATTGAGAAATTACCTGTAAAAAACTGACTGTACACAAAAATGACAGAAATAGGGGTTTGAGGATGAACAATCAAAACACTTTAAAACGGGGAAAAATTGGGTAGTATTGATCAAATTTGGAAAAGTTTTCAGAGCAGGAAAGAATAAACAATGCTAGGGAGACAAACTATGAGTCAAAGATTACTGTGATACCCTATGACAATATTTGATAATCGCGCTGATTTGATTCACCTCATAATAGATAACAGAAAGTACAATAAAAAATGTTATAAGATTAAATCCTTCCTTGATTTGTAAATTTGGCATTAATCATTGAATAAGGCAGAGTAAAAATATAATAATGAAGAGATATTGGAAGTTAAATAACTCTTGGCAAAAAGTATATTTGAGTTTTATCCTTTACCGTACGCAACTTCCTCAACAATTGTACCATTAACAAAAAGACCACAGTATATGTTTAATTAAAAAAATTTATATTCCAACATGTTGTACTCAGAAATTAGATTTAAATAGCGAATTATTCAGTTGACCAAACTACTGGAAAAAAAAATCGACGTCTTAAAGTAGCTCTACTGGAAAAAATAGTCATCTCTCAATTATTCAGAATTAAAGATAAAAAAAAAATGGCAGTCTTCCTTGAGTTTCTTTTGTGAGGCTGATTGAGTTACAACCTGTCCGGTCTTCGGTTTCATTACCAGCAAAATAAGAAGACTGAACTAGATTAAAATTATTTCTATAAGGGTCCTTCTCTATCCAGGATTCTGTGGTTCTGTATTTTAATTTGGCACCTGTTCATATTTCCTTGTAAAAATTCAAATTATATAGTTACTGTATGTACAACTGTATAAATAACATTTCATAAACTCTTTCAAATGTAGTAGAACACATTTACTGTAGACATAAAAAACTAGTCCTAAGATTTTTTTAAAATGATTTTTCACTTTATTTTTGTACATTTGTAATAATTTCTTAAAGATTAAGAATATCGCTTAATTAGGTTCCCAGGTAAAGAAAAGAAGCTGTAGACAAGGAAACTGTTATAAGAAAATGATCCCTTTGGGACCGTGAGGATTCTTTTGTTTACATTTCCTTGAAGATATTTAAAACTCCAACTCAAGGGCTTTGGAAGATTTGTCTTAACTCTACTGAATCTATATTAATCCTTTTATTCCCTACTTTGGAGAAGAAAAAAATGCAGGAATTCATTAACACGCCAGCCTGCCATTTGGCAGGTAAAAGAAAAGCTAAAAAAACTCGGTTCTTAGAACTTATCTCTGTCGAAACATCACCGATTTCCGCCAAAGGGCTAACAACGTTGAGCAAATTACCTGGCATATGAAAGGTCAGGAATTATCAACTGTAGCTATAAAGAAGGACCTGGTACATCTGCTTCCTCATTCACCCACCTCTGAAGCCAAGCTTTTTTCCTGGGCCCTCAAGTTTATAGCTCAAGGGACTCAACTGAAATGGCCTTGGGGAGATGAGGGGTAGCGAGAGTGATCCAAGCGGCTGCGGGCCGCCCTCCACTTTGGTCCCCTTTGTCTGGGCTGGGCTGGCCTTCCCGGGTTTGACCCTGCCCACCCCCTCCTCCCGGACTCGTCCTCCGGGGCCTCCTCTCCCTCATCCTGTTCTAACTAGGGCGGGACAGAGGAGCCCAGGTGCCTGGAGGGTGTCACTGGGCGCCCCCCGCCACGTCCTCCCTTCCCTTATCGCTTCCCCCCAGCGGGGCAAACTCGAAGGAACGGAAGCAGAGAGGTGGCGGGGGCTTCAGGAGGAGGGGTGAAGGGGGAGCCGGCGGGTCCGCGGTGGCTTAGCGGGAAGTGCCCAGATACCACACCTGAGGAGCGCCCGGGGAGGGGGAAGAAGGGGGCGGTGCCTAAGCTGCTGCCCGCGCCGCGGGCGCCAGGGGAGGGGAGCGGAGGGGAGGGGACTCTACTCCCCCCTCCTCCGGGAAGGGGAGGGGGGAGGAGAAGGCGGCCCGTGACTGTACCAGGGGAACCGGTCGGGCAGGTGGGGGTGGGGGGCAGGGGGCTCGCAGCCCTGAGGGAGGGGCTTGGGGAGAGGCGGAGACGAGGACGGCCGGGCTGGTCGTGGTGCGGCACCAGACACCCGCCCCACACTCGCTCTGTCCGTCCGGGAGTCGCGCTCACCTGGGGCTTCTCTTCGCGCTCGGGGCCAGGTGACCTTCCCTCCTCGCCCCTCCCTGTCCCGAGGGGCACGAGACCCTTCCGCTCCCCCCCAGCCCGAGCTCTCGAGGATCCTCGTGTGCGTCCGACGAGCCGGAGGAGCCCCCGCGCCCCTGTGCCCCTTCGCTCCCTCCGGCGCGCCTCCATGGGTCTGCCCCGGGCTTTTGCGCTTGGGCTGCTGCTCGCGGCTACGGTCGTGGCGCTAAGCTCGGCTGAGACAGGTGAGCCGGAGGGGTGGCCGGGCGTGCTGGGGCGGGGGGCGGCCGAGGATGCTGGGCATGCTGGAGCCGCCGTCGGGCTGGCCCGAGAGGCCCAGGAGGGAGAGAGGGATGGACGATGGCGTCGGGCGGACACCGCACTTGGTGACCCGAAGACCCGGAGAGGGGAGGCGGCGGCGGGGGGTGGCCAGCCCGAGCCCCGCGTCCTCGCGACCGTCTTTGTCCCCCGGGGGAGGGGGCAGCGCTGAGCTTCGCCTCGGAGACCCCCGCCACTTTCGTTCCTCTGAAGTGACCAAGGGTGGGTTGGGGGTGAGGGCCTAAAGAGGGGACCAGTCTCGGGAGGATGATGGGCGGGGGGGGGCCCGGGAAAGATTACCGGGTTATGGAGAGTCTAGGAGAATGGGACCCGGGGAGGGGTCCTTGTTGGTGTTCTTTGGCGGGACCCTGGGGTTGTGCGTCGGGTCGCCCCCTCCACCCTCCAACCCTGTCCTTTCTCTTCCCTCCTTGTCCCTTTCCATTCCCTCTTCCTCTTTTGCACACAATGGCGCCCCTCTCCCTCTTCCGGGTTGTGGCTACTTCGGCGACTGAAGGGAGCGCCTTGGGGAAGCTGGGGAGAGCGGGAACTGGTCAGTGGCCCGGGTTGGGCCGGGCCCCGCCCCCCGAGAGGCTGCTGCCTACCTGTGCTAAGGCCCGGATGTGGGCCAGGCGCTGCGCGAGAGGTGACCGCCCTGAAGCGCTCCTCGCCCGCCTGCAGTGCACCTGCATCCTCCAGGCGTCCCCTCCCTTCTCCCTGCAGCACGTCTGCACCCTCGGGGAGCTGGAAACCAGTTACGCAGTCTGGAAGGAAAGCTGTCTAATCTTGACCCATCTTCTTTGTTTCCTTCTGAGACCCAAAGACTTCAAATTAGTTTACTGTTATCGGAAAGATAAAAAGCAAATGATGATTTCCTTTAAGTGCGGTTGGATGCTACATTCCATACTCTTTGAAGACAGTTTTCAGCTAGCTCTAATTAAGTAGTTTGACTGCAGTAATTTTTTATTCTAGCTAGTTGCAAATAGATTAAAGCCTTTTCTGGATCACTTATTCCAAGTCTTCCTTCTGGGGCAGCTAGGTGGTGCAGTGGATAGAGCACCGGCCCTGAAGTCAGGAGGACCTGAGTTCAAATCCGGCCTCAGACCAAACATTTGACACTTACTAGCTGTGTGACCCTGGGCAAGTCACTTAACCCCAATTGCCTAAAAGCAAAAAACAAAAAAACAAAAAAAAACCCCAAGTCTTCCTTCTGTTGATTTACCTACCATTTGCCTGTCTCCCATCCCTACCTCCCTCTCCTTGAGAGCAGGTTGGGTTTTTAATTTTCATTCTGTTATGTTTTTTGCCTTTCTTTATGTCCCTGGCCCGTTGCACAGCCCTTGCCGCATAGTGCATGCTTCATAAATGTTTGTTGGCTGACTTCGGGATAGAAAGGCAATTTTGTTGGAGACCATTTGCCGTTTCATTAATGAATCAAATAATTTTTGGACTGCAGGGGTGGGTTCAGAAGGGAATAAAGGAAGAAATTATTTGAGTTCCGTGACTGTCAGATGGAAACAAGAAGATGGGTCAAGATTAGAAAGCTTTCCTTCCAGAGTGGGTAACTTGTTTTGTAAAGGTTGGTTATATTTAAGGGGATGGAAAGTTTGAGCATAAAGACTGAAATGGGGGGGGCGGCTAGGTGGTGCAGTGGATAGAGCACCAGCCCTGGATTCAGGAGGAGCTGAGTTCAAATCCAGCCACCTGCATATAACACTTACTAGCTGTGTAACCCTGGACAAGTCACTTAACCCCCACTGCCAAAACAAAACCCCCCAAAAAAAATTGAAATGGGAATTAGTGAAATGACCCATTGTCAAAAGTAAATTCTGGAACCAATTTTTCTTGTCATTTAAAGCTGTGATGTACTGGGTACTTGGGTAGAATTCCCAGAAACTCATTTAACTGGAGCACTAGAATTGTCTTTGAGGGGAGTATTATTTTGTTGTTCCAGCATTAATTGGAAGATAACAGATTTCAAATTTTTTTTTCCCTTTTCTAGCTTGTTACTGTGAAACAAACAAGTTGACAAACTGCACTGAAATATCACCTGGTAATTGCCAATGTCAGGCTATTGGTTCACCAAATATAGTCCTCTGTTCACAACGTGAGTTTAGTCTAATTTTCTGGCATTAACTTAATTTTGGTATACTAATTTGGTTAGTGAAATGTAATAGATACCATTGGTAAATAACAGTCAATTCAGTGTGTCAGAATATTTGCTCAGAAGTATATTACTTGTCTTGTTTATGCTGGGATACTTCAGCTCAGTTGTATGTGCTTTTTAAAAAAATAACCTATCCACATTTATAGGTAATGTGGCTTTTTCTAGAATGTGAGAAGTGAATTTTTACTTTTATAAGTAATGTGGCTTTTTCTGGAATGAAAATTTAAGGCTGTGTTGTTCATCATTCTGTAGTGGGTCAAAGGAGAGTAAAAATAAAAACACTCTTCAAAGTAAACAGTATAACTCATGTAAGAAATTTGTTGTTTTTTTTTAAATTTCTGATGTGAAGAATTTGGACCCCAAGAAAGATTTCCCTCATTAAATATGAGAAAACAGAGCCTTGACTTGCATGTCATACATGTAATAAATGGCAGATCCATGTCTTCTGATTGCTATTTCACGCTTCTTTTTTGTATTATGCTACCTGTCTCGGGAATTTATTTTTTCTTGGATTCAGTGATTATGAATTCTTCTCTTTATTAACTTTTGATCAATGTAGGTTCTTAGTGAGTAATATTTGATTTTGAATTCTTTTTGGGAAGCATAAACCCACTCTTATTTTTGAGTTTGACTATAACCTTTTTCCTCCCCCAAAGTGGCTTCAAAGTGTTTGGTGATGAAAGCAGAAATGGCTAATTCAAAGAGTGGGCGGAGAAAGAAACCAGAAGGGGCTATTCAGGATAACGATGGAATATATGATCCTGATTGTGATGGAAACGGTCACTTCAAACCTCGACAATGTAATGGCACTGCTCTTTGCTGGTGTGTGAATACAGCTGGAGTAAGAAGAACAGATAAGGATAGTGAAATATCATGCAGTGAATTAGTAAGAACACAGTAAGTTTGTTTGCCTTTATTATTAATATTCATACTTTTCAGATAAATTCCTTATCTGTGAATTATAATAGCATTGATTTGTACCTAAAACTTTGATGGTAAATATGATAGTTGACCTAAAAGTATTTTGATTCATTTGTTGGTTTAATTAAAGAGGAAACTTACTCTCTTTTAATAGTACTACTATATTTGGAGCTGGGAAAATTTTAGTTGTATTCACTAAGAACTGAAAGTTTAAAAAAGTATAAGGAAGTAATTCAATTTAATTTTTTTTATTACAGTTGGATCATCATTGAACTGCAACACAAAACACGAGAAAAACCTTTTAATAATACTGTTTTAGAAAAGTAAGTCTTATTAAAGTCTGTGTCTTGGCATATTTTTAAGAGCTTAAGTAAATGGTTTTTCATTCATTCATTAAAATGCCTAATTATTTGTAAAATGAAGCCTTTGGACTAAATCATCTTTAAGATCCATTCTAGCACTGACATTCTGTATTTACCAACTGGGGTTGGTGTTTAAAAATCTTTACCTTCATGTTGTTCTGTCTATAGGAGACAAATATTCCTTTTTTTTCCTTTTTTTTATTAATTTATTTTGAATTATTAACAATCACTTCCATAGGCTTTTCAGTTTTAAATTTTTCTCCACCTCCCTCCCCAAGATGGTGTGCAATCTGATATAGGCTATACATATACATTCCTATTAAACATATTTTCACATTAGTGATATTCTAAGTAAGAATTAGAACCAATAGGAGGAGCCACTAGAAAGAGGAAACAAAACACAACAGAAAAAAAAATAGCAAATAGTATGCTTCAGTTTGCATTCAAACTCCATAGCTGTTTCTTTGGATGTGGATAGCATTTTCTATCATGCCTTTAGAGATGTCTTAGATCTTTGTATTGCTGAGAAGGGTTAAGTCTATCATTATTAGTCATCGTACAACGTGGTTGTTACTGTGTACAATGTTCTCCTGGTTCTGCTCACTTCACTCAGCATCAGACAATACAAGTCTTTCCAGGTTTTCTGAAGTCAGCCTGTTCATCATTTCTTATAGCACAGTAGTATTCCATTACATTCATATACCACAACTTGTTCAGCCATTCCCCAATTCATGGGCCTCCTCTCAATTTCCAATTCTTTGCTACCATAAAAAGAGCTGCTATAAATATTTTTGTACATGTGAGTCCTTTTCCCATTTGTATGATCTCTCTGGGATATAGCCCTAAAAGTGCTATTGCTAGGTCAAAGGGTATGCACATTTTTATAGCTCTTTGAGCATAGTTCCAAATTGCTCTCCAAAATGGTTGGATCATTTCACAACTCCACCAACAATGCATTAGTGCTCTAGTTTTCCCACATCTTCTCCAACATTTATCATTTTCCTGTTTAGGGAGACAAATATTTCTTATAATAGATTGTTTATGATACTTGTAAATTAAAGGTAGCATCTTTAACTGGTTAATTTTATAAACACTTTAGTCTTGGAGAACTATAACTATCTGGTTATATCAATAAAAATAGTGCTTCTTGTAATGTGTCATAAAATAGCTGTTTCATAACAGATTTTTAATTCTTACAGGGTCATCAAACAGGAATTTCAGCAGCGTTATAAACTGAACCCTAAATACATCAAAAGAATTTTGGTAATATATTTTCTTCTTATTGCAAACCATCTCTGAAAGAACTAGCTAGTTTTAGCAAATACATGGTAATATAGCTGGGTCCAATGGGTAAACTACTAGATTTGGAGACAGGAGGACATGGGTTTAAATCTTTCCTCTGAAACTTAAAAGCTGTATGACCATGGGCAAGTCACTTATTGTCTCTTAGTTTCTGGTAACTCTGGAAAAACTCATTCACTAAGTTGTAACTGGCTTGCCATCTGTGTTAAGCACTTTATTGTGAATTCTGTACTCTTTATCTTTGATTTCTGTATATTCTTTATATCTAGAAGTTTAATGATTCTTATCTCCTTGGATTTTTAAAAATATAATATGTATTCAGGAAAAAAGGCTCAGACAGTTCAAATTGATTAGACAAATATTTTCATGAACTAATGATATAGATAACCACTGAGACAAAAAACTTGAGATACTGCATTTTCTTGCTCATCTTTCCCATAGGAATACTCTTTAAGTATCAGTTTCCTCCCCTAGTCTCTGTAACACCCTGCCTCCTCTCCAGGAAACCTAGCAGCTCTTTGAAACTTGACACACATACCCCCACCACCTTGGCCCTAGATAATATATTTTCTTTGTGGGTACTCAGTAACTACTGTAGTCTTACTAACGATGTATTCTAATTTAGGTTTTTCTTTTTAATGCCGCATCAAAAGAAAGATTAATTTCACCTCTTCCTAAGAGTATTATTTTTATAGCTTCCCATCCATGGGGGTCATATAGTCAAAATGATCTATTCTAGACTGTTACTGAAAAATGCTTGAATGTAGTAAATATCTGAGGCAAGATTTGAGCCCAAGTCTTAAGACTCTATATTCAGCTCTCTATCCATTATCCTACACTGTAGGATATTTGGGAGAGAGAATCTTACTCCTTTCTTTGCCATCAAGTAGGAGACTGAATTTGGATTACACTTCATTTTAGCACTTTACATATGCTACACTTAGGATAATTTAAAATGAAAGGCATATTACTTGTCCAAATAAGGGGTTTCAAACTTCTGCTTATCTGTCAATAATTCTCATTGTGGTAGCAAAGACTTTTTTTCATAACAGAAGTTTTTATTATTAATTTTAGTCCTCTTTTAGATTTTTAGTGCAATATTTGATATTTAGCATTTAGAACCATATGTAGAATATTTAAAGATATCACAAAAATTCTGAATGTCTAATAGTTAATTATCTTCTACCTTAGTAGAAAAGAGCAACTGTGCAAATGATTCAAAAGGTCACAGAATTCAATGACAGAAATGCCATGATGAGCACTATGATTTACTTGATGTTTACTCTTTTTTTTTTCCAGTATGAGGATGATGTTATCATTATTGACCTGGTGCAGAATAGTACCCAGAAAAGCACTAATGATGTGGACATAGCTGATGTGGCATATTATTTTGAGAAAGATGTAAGTATGATTGGCCAGATCATTCTGAAACACTATTTTGGCCAAGAACCCTACTATTCAGAGAGGAAAGGGGAAGAGATTAATTTATATTCAGGCAAATTGGTATTAAAGGTCTTCTAGCTCCCTTTTCAGGCTCTATTTCTTTACGTTCTTCAGAATCATCCCTTTGATATAGTCAATTCAGTCTTTTTATTGTTTGCTCCCACACCAAAGAAGTATTGCTAGTGCCATTCCACTACCTGTAATGCCATCTTCTCCTCCTCTATTATATACTTCAGATAACTATGTCAGACTCTATTAATTCTTAACAACCCTTCCTGAAAAATCTCAGGCAACATCATTCAGCATGTAGGTATATACACAATTTACTCTGCTGTCTTGTACTTGATCGTGTTATCTAATTACATGTGTATGTTTTGTGTTTCCAGTTAGATCTGTACATTTTTTAAGGGCACGGGGGCATACTTTTGTCTTCTTTTATGCTTCCTCTTACCCTCAGAGCCCATAGTTCAGGGAGTGGAACATGTGGGAGACATGTAAGGAATTCTATTTATCATTCAATTTGGGGATAAAGTATTGGTGGTGACCCCAGAGCTCAGTCACGTCTGGCAGTGATTCTTTCTAAACTTTTTGAATTTTGTTTTTTTTTTTCATTTCCAATATAGGTAAAAGGCGAATCTCTCTTTTATTCCAGTAAAATTAATCTTGTCCTAGAAGGTGAAACGCTTGATTTGGATCCTGCTAAAACTTCGATCTATTACCTTGATGAAAAGGCACCTGAATTTTCAATGCAAGGACTAACAGCTGGTATTATTGCTGTCATTGTAGTTGTAGTTCTGGCACTTGTTGCTGGAATTGTGGTGCTGGTAAGTGCTGTACAGACAAAATGCCAAGGTTCCAGGTATTATTTCAAAGATATTTTCATACTCTAGTGGAGTAACCATAGTAACAGTACTCAATCTGACTGTAAATCTTTATCAATGAATTAATCTCATATGAAATCATTTTCCTGGTCTTGCTATGAGATAATCACTTTCTGTAAGGAAAGACACTTTGTGCTGTGTATGCTATAAGAGGAGAAGAGAAGTATAACCATACTCTTTACATTTATTTTCTTTTGCCTTCAAGCTGCAAATACAAATACCCTTCTCCCACTTCAGACATTTTAACCCATGAGACAGGAAGACAAAGAACCAGACAATCCTAAACTCCCAAATCATCTACCACTACTAAGTAAGGGAACATCATAAAAAGTCCAAGCTGTTACATGATGATAATTATAGCGTGCAGGTGGGAGTCACACAAAATTTAATCCTCACAACATCCCGGTGAGGTTGGTGCTATTTCCCCCATTTTAGAGGTGAGGAAACTGAGGGTGAGAGAGACTGAATAACCTGAAGTCATGTAGCTATTAAGTGTCTTGAGGTAGAATTTGAACTCAGATCTTTTGACCCCAGATCTAGCGTTCAAGTCATTTCTTTAAGGAAAGGAGAAAAGAGATTGTTATGTGATTAAAACTAGGGGAAGTAAATTCTCTAAGTCACATGCTTACATACATACGTACTTACACATATACATAAACCATAAGGAAGTTGGGCATTGGCTCCTACAGATTGAAAATGTTGTTTTTAGTATTATTCCCCTTTTATATTTTTATACAACAAAATCATTTAGATATTCTGTGGACTTTGTGATAATGGGCTTTCACTTTTACTTTGAGCATGACTGTCCCCAGTTTTTAGAGTTTTATTTTTAAAAGTTAGACCTTTACTAGAAGCAATTATAACTTAAAAACAGCTCCTATTTTTCTCTACCTCAATATTTACCTTTTTTTCAAAGGTCAGCTTAGTCTGTTACTTATGCTGTTTAAAGGGTCAGCTAGATGGCACAGTGGATAGAGCACCAGCCCTGAAGTCAGGATGACCTGAGTTCGAATCCAGTCTCAGACCAAACACTTGACACTTACTAGCTGTGTGACCCTGGGCAAGTCACAACCCCAATTGCCTCAAAAAAACAAAAAAAACAAAACTTATGCTGTTTAAAATAATTGGATTAAATATGAAATTGTGCAGTTATGAACTTTTTAATAGCTCTTTGTGCTAACGTGTAACTATTATTTGAATAAATATTAAACAGTTTTCTAAAATTATCAAATATCTTCATCTATTTAGGTTATGTCCAGGAAGAAAAAGAAGACAAAATACGAAAAAGCTGAGGTAAGTTGATCTTTAATGAAATTCATTTTAAAGTAATAGTACTAGTAATAATAACAATAGCACTTATGTAGAACTTTACAGTTTGCAAAGGACTTTACAAGTTATTTTACCCTCACAACAACCCTAAGAAGTAGATGCTGTTAATATCTCCATTGTACAGCTGGGGTAACTGAGGAAAACAGAGGTTACGTGACTTGCCTGATGGTCACATAGCCAGTCAGTGTTTGAGGTGAGAACTGAACTGCGTTCTTCCTGACTCAAGGTCTAGTACTCTGCCCCACTTCACCGCCTAGCTGCCAGGTAATATGGTATAGAGGCTGTGAAGATGGAGTCAGAAGACCTGGATCTCTGGGTCAATTTCTTCATCTTTAAGAAGAGGACATTGGATTACTTGGTCTGTAAAGTTCCTTCCCGCTCTAAATCTGTGATGGCTATGAATTTGTAGAATAATTTGTTGAACAGCTTTCTCTTGGTACATTAGAGAATGTCCCCAACATACAAACAGATTCCAACTGTGTTATGGCCTCATTAGAATGTTATTCTAGGAGTTTGTGCCTAATGAGAGAATAATGATGTCATTGTCTAAATCCCCTTATGTAAAGCCCAAATGGAATACCTTTTATTGAATTCTGTTCTAGTGTCGTAGCAATTATACTGGGATCTCATTAAGGTAGGAGGTCCATAATACTGTGCATGTTTAAAAAGAGATGTATTGCTATCCTTTCTTCATGTTACTCCCCAGTAGACCCCTTCCTTGTAGCAAGGATGTATACAGTTAAGCAAAACAAGTCAGCACATTGCCCATATCTAAGGACATATACCTCTTTCTACACAACTGATCAGTGACTTGATAGGAGTTCTGGTCTTTCCATATTGTTTTCCTTTGTATTTTTATGTTTTGGGTGGATGGGTGGGGTCTGTTCACTTTGTTCTTCAATCTCTTATTTTGTATAACCTTTCTCAGCTTTCTCTGAATTCTAATAATTTCTTACATTAATTGGCCACAGTTCAGTCATCCATTCCCTAATCAAGCAACGTCTATCCATTTCATCTTGGGATACTGTTTCTTAATGGTGTCCCTTTAATGAGATCTAATTAATAAGCTAAATGTAGCTAAGGTGAAATGTTTAGCTTTAAGCTAGTGGGGTAATATTTGGAATAGCTGCACTTAATTTATATCATGATTATTATTTTTGCTATTATATGGTGTGCTGTTAATTATAAATCTGCAAAAGTATTTGCAAACTTTTCTCACCTACTTGGGATTAGACTTGATTTCTGATGACATAGACATTTGGTCTCCTGATCCTAAGTATCCTGGGATCATCCCTTTAGAGCTGGAAGGAACCTTAGAGGCTGTCTGGTCCAAATCCTTCATTGTACAGATGAGGAAACTGAAGTGAAGTGGCTTGCCTCATGATCTCACAGCTTCTTGAATCCTCCTGACTGGTGTTCCAGACAGATGTGTAAAGCGTTATCTTTTTTCACTAAATACTATTAGACTGATAGCATCATTGGAAGATCATGGGATCACAGATTTAGAGCTATAGGGGATCATGTTTTCAAAAAGTTTCCTAAGTGCTTTACTTAAAATAGCCCAGGGATTCCTTCAAGTAGTATTGTCCCCATTTCACAGATGAGAAAACCGAGGCCCAGAGAAGTGATATGACTCACCTATGTTCATAGGGATAATAAATGATAGAGCTAGAATTTTAATCAAGTCTAGTATTCTTTCTACTGGAGCAGCTAGATGGTGCAGTAGATGGAGGGCTGGGCCTAGAGTCAAGAAGACCTAAGTTTAAATCTGGTCTCAGGCATTTACCAGTTATATGACCCTGGGTAAGTCATTTAACCCTATTTGCCTCAGTTTTGTCATCTGTAAAATAAGCTGGAGAAGGAAATGGCAAATCATTCCAGTATCTTTGCCAAGAAAATCTCAGAAGGGGTCACGAAGAGTTGGACATGACTGAAATGACTGAACAGCAACAACATCCTTTCTACTCAGCCTTGTTTCCCAGTTACTGTTTGGGTAATTTTGAAAAGTGGGCCTCAGTTTTCTTATCTGTAAATTGAGAAGGTTCATTCAAACTCTAAAGATTCTAGAAGTCTATGCTAGTTTATTGAGAACCCTCCAACCATCAGCTATAATACTATTTTTAATATTAAGCCTTTCAGCATCATGATAGATATTGCTCCATTTTCTGAACTTTTTAGATTGTCTTATTCTACTTTGGGGACATTTATAACATTTATTTGTGTTTAAGTTGTTTGTATATAAAGACAGTATATGATGCTTTGTAGTTTATGAAGCATTTTCTCACAACATCCCTGGGAGCTGGAGTTTACAAGTATTATTGTATTCATTTTACAGATGAGGAAATAAAGGCTTTAGGAGCTTAAATGACTTAACTAGACTTTTTATGGCTAGTAGACTTGAACTATTTTCTTGATTAGTTGTCCAATGTTCAGGGTCCTCTACAGTTTTGCAAGACTCTAATGGACAAGGAATATACAAATACATATTCCTGCAGTCCTTTGCATATAGTTAGTATGTCAATAAATATTAAGATTGAAAAAGTTGATTCACTGAGGATTCCTATTCTGTTAATCAATTTGATATAATTCCATGGAGGTCATGATGATAAGTTCCCGTATAGTTGGCCTCAGAGCTGCAGATTTTAAGTTCACTTCCTTAATCATAGGAAGTTTAACTAGAGGCCCTTTGCCCTTCTTTTTTTCCTTGTCATGGTGACCAAACTCATTGTGATGGAGGTGACTCAGCTACATGGAAAGTCCTCCAATTTATTTTGTACCTCGATACCATTCTCTTTTGTCCAACACAAGCAGGTGACCATTTTATGACCATTTTATCACCACCTAGTCAGTGGAGTTAGTCTTTGCTTCATCCAACTCAAGACCTTTCTGACAGATCATTTTTTGCTTATGCATCATATGTCAACAGTGGAATTATTCTTCATTTGGTATAGCCATTCTTGAATGTCTAGATAGCTAATCCCATAAAAATAGAGCCCTGGAAAGGAGGGGGCATCTCTGATTGTGAGGAAGATCTGAGGTGCACTTCATTAGAGGGGACCACGGACCCTTTCATAAAGTGCCATTGGCGCAGAGCTTTGTCTCAGTCTCTTTCATTGTAGGCTGGATAATTTTAATCCCCACAAGATAAAATTATTGCAAATGAGAGGAACTTGATTTCTGATGACATAGCAATTTTGTTCACTTTTTTACCTCCTTCTTCACAGATAAAGGAGATGGGTGAATTACACAGAGAACTCTCCACATAACTACCAAAATACGAAGACAAGAAGAAAAAAAAATAGATATTGATACTGTATGTGTGGAAATGGGGAAAAAAAAGCCCCGCCAGATTAATATCTTGTTAGAACGACTATAACCTAGGGTTTAAAAATGCAGAATGAGTAGATTGTTGTGAAGTGGGATTTACTCGGTACTCAAATTATGAGTTACTTGAAAATTTTGGCTATCCCTATCTAAAAAAGTTGGGCCACTATAAATTATTCAAATATACATTTTCTTAGACAAAAAACTAGACTACATAGGTTTAAGCTAATGCTTATATGACATCAGAATTCATACTTTAAATATATTTCAACGATAGGGTTTGAATTCCACACTTGTAAAAATGAAAGCTAGTTTTCAATAATGTTTTTTGTTTGTCTTGTACATATTTTTGTCTTGAATTTCCTTAAACTTTTTTTATGAACTATAAATAAACAAGTTATTCAAAATTGAGTTTCCCATTTTTAAAAAAGTTGTCCTTGTTAAAAAACAGCTATCAATTTCTACAAAGTTCTGACCACCCTAAGCTACTAGGTAAATTGTAGTATCGTTCAAACATCTGAATGTCAGAAATGAATGATGTGCTTCATGGACATGGAAATAGTTTTTGCTTTGCATAACATCTTAAAGTTCTGCTTTTCATGTAAAAACTAAAGTAAATATTACCTTTTAAAAAATGAGAATGGGAAATGAACCTTGGGAAAGAATTTAAGGGGAGGGGTTTCTGAGACAGGAAAACTAGATAAATGACTTCATATGAGTAATTTATTGCACTAAAGTTTGTTTTGTTACAAAAGACTTGTTACTAAACTGTTCCTACAAAAATATAGCTGACTCCCAAAGTATCCAGGGTAGATTGTCCAGATTACTGACCTCCTTACATACCTTGTTTTTGCTGTAGGAAAAGTTTTTAAAATCAAGATATTTCAGTAGCTTCCATGAGAACTGCACAATACAGGAAAGCAGAAGTAAATGAATAATTTATCTCAGGAGTGGGGAGCCTGCATTCTTGAGGCCATGTGTGGCCCCCTAAGTCCTCAGGTGTGGCCCTTCGATTGAATCCAAACTTCACACAACAAATTCCCTTAATAAAAGGATTAATTTTAATTTAATTTCACTTAGAATGGGTACAGTGTAAGGAGTCAGTCATATTTGTATGAACTCTGGAGTGAGAGGGGTCTTGGGTTCAAATACTGCCTCTTGACAACTCTGGCCTTGAACAAGTCACTTCATATCTAGGCTTTGCCTCTTCCTTTGTGTACAGTTCCTGGTACATAGTAGGCACTTAATAAATGTTCATTTACTGATTCCATTGTAACGTGGGGCTTTTGGATCAGATGACCTCTAATGTCCATTCTAGCTTTCAATTTGATTATCTGGTACTTTAGAAAAGGTGTCAAATGTATCTATTAGATTGATTAAATGGTAGTAGATATAACCCCAACTACTATCTGGTTAGCCACAGGAGAGATTTAGGGGCTGGGCAGTTCAAGGAGTTTTTAGTCTGTCAACTAGAAAATCAGAGACACCAAAGGAAGTAACTCTGGAACAACTTTTACTTTTAATGTATGCCCGGTGAGTAACAGAATGTAGCAACAGGTTATCACACCACCAGATTAAGGATGAAAGCCACCAACCTTATAATGATATAATAGAATTTCAGTTTATTCATTCTTTTATCCCTTGACATTAAATCTCTAGCAAATTTTGTTAGTAATAACACATTTATACCACTCTAAAGTTTACAGAGTACCCCTTTTCCAGATATTTGAGATTGGTGGGATAAGCATCATCTCAATTTTAAAGATGAAGAAACAGGTTAGTCCAATACCATACTGATGGAACTGGGAATGCAGTTCTGATATATGGCCTTTAAAAAATATTTCGAAATTAACATTCAATGAGATAGAGGACTTTAAAGCATTCTTGATGAAAAGACCAGAGCTGAGTAAAAAAAAAATTGACTTTCAAATAAAAGACTCGAGAAGCATAAAAAGGTGAACAGGAAAGGGATTTATAAGGGACTTTGTAAACACATTCTTATATGGGAAGATGATATTTGAAACTCATAAGGCCTTTCTCATTATTAAGGTAATTAGGAACATATATAGACAGAAGGCACAGGTATGAGTTGAATATGAAGGGATGATATCTAAAAAATTAAGGGGTGAGGAATGTACTGGGAGAAAGGGAAAAGTAGAATGGGGTAAATTATCTCACATAAAAGACGCAAGAAAGAGCTTTTACAGTGGAGGGGAAGAGTGGGAGGTAAAGGGGAGTGACTGAACTTTACTTTTATCAGAATTGGCTCAAAGAGGGAGTAACACACTCAATTGGGTATAGAAATCTATCTTACCCTACAAAAAAGTGGGAGGGGAAGGTGATGAGAGAAGAAAAGGCAGATTGGGGGAGGGGGTAGTCAGAAGCAAAACATTTTTGAGGTGGGATAGGGTAAAAAGAGAGAACAGAAGGGGTTGGGGTGGGGTAGGGAGGATAGAATAGAGGAAAATACAGTTAGCAACAGTAACTGAAAAAAATCTTGGGGCAGCTAGGTGGTGTAATGGAGAGAGCTCCAGCCTTAGAGTCAGGAGGACCTGAGTTCAAATGTGGCTTCAGACACTTGACATTTACTAGCTCTGTGACTCTGGGCAAGTCGCTTTAACCCTAACTGCCTCACCAAACAAAAAAAATCTTGAAGCAAGTTTCTTTAAAGGCCTCATTTCTCAAACATAGAGAACAGAGTCAAATTTATAAAAATAAGAGCCATTCTCCAATTGATAAATTATCAAAAGATACGAAGTTTTCAAATGAAGTAAAAGCTATCTATAGCCATAAGAAAAAATTCTCTTAATTCACTATTGATTGGAGAAATGCAAATTAAAGCAATTCTGAGGTACTACCTCATACCTATTAGATTGGCTAATAGAAAAGATAAATGACAAATGTAGGAAAAATGAGACATTAATGCACTGTTTGTGGAGTTGTGAACTGATTCAACCATTCTGTAGAGCAATTTGGAATTATGCCCAGAGGACTATAAAACCATGCATATGCTTTGACCTAGCAATACCATTACTAGGTCTGTATCCCAAAAGAGAAAAAAAAAAAAGGAAAAAGGACCTATATGTACAAAAATATTTAAAGCAGCTCTTTTCTGAGGGCAAAGAATTTGAAATTGAGGGTATGCCCATAAATTGGGGAATGGCTAAGCAAGTTGTGTTATGTGCTCATGATGGAATACTACTGTACTATAAGAAACGATGAGTAGAATGCTCTCAGAAAAACCTGGAAAGACTCACAAGGACTGAATGAAGCAAAGTAAAATGTACTGTGTACAAAGTAACAGCAATATCGTAAGATGATCAGCACTGAATGACTTAGCTATTATTCTCAGCAATACAACAATCCAAGACATCTCTGAAGAACTTAATGATGAAAAATGCTATCCATCTCCAAAGAAAGAACTGATGGTGTCTGAATACAGACTGAAGGATACTTACTGTTTATTTTCTTTATTTTTCTTGAGTTTTTTTGGTCTATGTTTTCTTTCACAACATGACTACTATGGATATGTTTTGCATGACTACATATGTATAACCCTATATCAAATTGCTTGCCTTCTCATTGATGGGGAGTGGGGAGAGACAAAGGGAGAGAATTTGAAACTCAATGTTTTAAAAAGGAATGTTAAAAATTGTTTTTACATGTAACTGGGGGAAAATATAATACTAAATTTAAAAAGTTTTCTAAAATGGAAAGTTAAAAAAAAATTTGACTACCAGTTTGAGAATATAATTCACTTCTACTAATCATTCCTTAGGTCCCCATCCATAAACAAAAGGAGTTCAGCTTATCTACCTCATTATAAACTCCAAAAATAGTTCAGTCAATTTTAGTATTGCTACATGAAGGGGTACCTCATCAAAAAAAAATGTAAACTGGCCAAGTTAATGTTTTTGATATAATGGAAGTGTATCTTAAAAGCCAACTGAATATAAATGCAATCTGCATGTATATTTACATGCATATGTAAATATATATACACATATACAGTAAATATATTTGTATAGGGTAGCTAGGTGGTGCATTGTATAGAGTGCCAGACCTGGAGTCAGGAAGACTTATCTTCCCAAGTTCAAATCTGGCCTCAGACACTAGCTATATGACCATGGGTAAGTCATCGCACCGTTTGCCTCAGTTTCCTCATCTGTAAAATGTGCTGGAAAAGGAGATAGCAAACCACTCCAGTATCTTTGCCAAGAAAACCTCAACTGGGGTCACAAAGAGTTGGACACTATGGAAAATGACTGAACAAATATGTGTGTGTTTATTACATGTATATACACACACTGTATAAAAAGTTAATTCATATAATATATATTATAAATTTAAGGTGCTATGTAAATGTTAGCTATTATCACTCAGATACCAAAAAGTCAATAGCTTAAGCCTTTTGTTTCCTGAGCCAATCATGTCTCAGATAGGATTTCAATACCTTTTAAGGAAAAACTGGCTTAACTTCCATAGGGGTGAGGACTAAGCTATTGCTTCCACCACATAACACCCCACCCCTTGGTAATAAGGTCCTAAAGGTCTCCTAGAGGATTGTCTACCGCTTCATTGGCTTTACAGCTAGTCAACCTTGATCGAAAGAACACAAACAACCTAATATTGGCAACATTAAAAAGAGAGGGGAAAAGTAAAGCAGAAACAGCACGACCAATGTAACAACCCTTTAAAGGAGTGGCTGAATACAGAAAAATGAAATCAGAAATCCTAAACTTTGTCACCCTTTGGAAGGACTGAAGTTTAGATCTAAATAATCACCTCCATTGGTTAGGTGATGCCAAATCTTTTTACTTCACAGTAGATTTCAACATAAAGAGGTGACCATGAACAAAAGAAGCACTGGAAACATGAGGGCTACAAGAAAGATTAATAAAACTAGTTTTTATATAATGCTATGAGGTTTGCATAGTGCTTTACAAATATTACATCATTTTATCTTCTCAACAACCCTGGGAGGTAGAGGGTATTATCCTCATTTAAGAATTTATTTTCCCTAGTTAAGGAAACTTAAGGCAGACAGAGAGGTTAAGTGACTTGCCCAGGGTCACAAAGGCAGGGTTTGAATTCAGGTCTTCCTAACTCCAGTTCCAGTACTCTGAATACTGTGCTGCGGTTTGGGGTGCTGGGAATCACAAAATGTAAGGGTTCAGGGTGAGACTGGGATAGTCTGGAGGCAAAAGAGAAAGGTTCTAGATGGGATTAAGGAGTGACAAGTAACCTGGGGTAGACTAGGTGCAGACAATGAAAGGAGTTAAATGGTCTTGGCTGGGTCAGAGAGCCACAGTGAAAGGGAAGTTAAAAGGATTATGGAGTACCTAGGTGGACTGGGATGGGCCACATACCTCAGGTGAAAAGCCAGTGTGAGCAAAGACATGGTCTT